AACGAGTAGCTATCGCACTCATTATAGTGTATGTATATTATTTAAATTTCTTTATAAAAAGTAATGTATTTTTCAAACATATTATAACGGGGCAAAGTTCTTGTAATAGTGATCAATTTTTAAGATGTCAGGATTGAACAAATATTGATATTTGGGCACAATATTATCGTTTAAATTTTGCATAAAAAAAAAATTTTGTGGAAAATATAATGGATGCCATCGGTTGTTTTTTAATTTTTTGCAAGCAATAATTCAACAATGGAAATTTGGAAAATTTTTTGCCAACTTTGAAAGTTTGCCGAATCTGGAAATAATCTTACAAAAATTTGAGTCAAAGCAATTTTTAGCTATTATCAAACTCTATCTGAATCACCGGTTGAAAAATTATTTTCATCAAAACCGACATGCGTACGGGCATTTTTTCCGGGAAGTGACAGTTTTTTCCAGAACTATTTTTTTTACAGATAATAGAAGATCATCTAGAATTAGAATTAATCAATATAACATAGAGATATCAATTTATACATACGGTGATTCTGAAATTTTTGATGAAACTTATATCACTGGATTCGTCTTGAAAAATTATTTAAGATAAAAAAATTAAAAAAAGTTTTTAGTAATTAGGTACTGACATAATCAACTTCACAGAAAGCCAATCAGCGGCCGGCTTTAGAATGTAGAATGCAGCTTGGCGAGCGCGGAGCGGCGTGAGAGCTGACATGCACGCGCCGCAGTCAACTGAAAACGATACTCAACTATATTTATGCGCGTAATGAATTTTGCTGTCTAACTGCAATTTTCAGTAATTCAACAATGACTTGAATTTACTTGAATTATTTTATTCGACATCAAGTGACGATTTAGGATGATGAATTTAAGTGAGTCGACAATACTAGCGTTTTTAAAAATTATGCTACATAACGGAATACAAACTACGCTATTCATAGACAATTTGGAAAAATACCATATATTTTATCTTTTGTTATTTGCTAATGATTATAAAAATACTTTCAATAAATGGTTCAAAAATTTTTTATTTCTAAAAATATTTGGTGTTATTTTTGAATAAAATAATGCAAAATAATAAACTAAAAGGCACAAGTTAATAAATGAAATTAAATTAAATGCACGAGCTTGCTTTCTGGAGCGTGCGTAAATCGAGTCCTCACGCATGGAACATCGAAAAAATACAAGAACAGTACTGCTAACGAATATCATATTAGTTAGCAATATGACAATAGTACAAGTAGAGCATACTATACTTTATTCACGCATACGATTCATGCGTATTTATAAATTCTATGGTGTGAATTGTAAATAACTAACTAAAATTACAAGTCACTTTATTCTTGATACGGGTGTTTTAATAAGCACAATTACAGGAATAACGATAAGTGAAACGTTCGTTTTAGTAAGGATTACTTTGGAAAACATAGCTTAGTTAGTTTTGACATAAATTATGTTATTTATTTTAACTTTTTTTATTTTTATCTAACGTAACATCATAATAATCAATACTAATAGCAATACTAATGTACTAAAATTTAAGAAAACTATGTTATTTAAAAAAATAATTGCATAATGCATACTAGAACTCACAGAAAAATGCAGTTCAGTCCTATCCTAATTATTCATTCGTTTAAACCTTTTTTTGTTGTCGTTTATTAATTTATCGCGTGAACGTGTTACTATCCGTGGTCACGATGCACGTACAATATACCGCCGCGGAGTATACCGATATGATATTATATCTTGGTTGAACGAAAGGTAATCGTGAAGAGGCAGCTCGGGAATACCATCATCATTTTGAGCGTATAAGAGAGAATATGCCCACACCTAAAATTATTACGGCGACGGGACAAGGGTTACGCGAGACAAGCAACACGACCGTGCGGAATCCTGACGGTGGACGTGCAAGAGAGCTACGCGATGCCCTGCACCATCCGGTAGTCGAAGTTTTTCACCGGGACCCAACTAACAGGTTGTGCAACGTTGCCCATGAAATGCGGGACAATTTTGGCATGAAATGCTCGTACAGTACGGTACAGCGGATCATAAAAGACGACGGACAACATCCTTACCATTATAGGCGCGTTCAGGAGCTTGGTAAATTTTGATGCTAATTATTTAAAATATGAATTCATATAATTTGGATCCCACAAACCAATATTTTTAATTAAATTATTAATTTAAAAACCTGTCATTTTATAAGCAAAAACCTAATTCAATAAGACGCGGAGACGAAAATTATTGATTATCAAAAGCAAAGGGAAATATAAAAATGAATATAAATAAATTTTAAAGTAGCGTGAAATGACAATAAGGAAATCGTAGCTAATGTAAACTTAAATATCTATTGCATAATCGTTTACACCATTTTGTTTGAATTTGTTTTCTTTTTCAAGGAATTTTCGGGAGTCGGCTCGGCGACACTTGACCGTACGTTCGTAAAATTCGAGAGCGAAGGCTTTATCAGAATTTGTATCGGCTATGAATCGTGGGACAAAGAGAGAAAAATTGAAATCGAATCACACTACAAGTATGTTCGAATGAAAGTCGAGACGTACGGGCACACATCATCGTCGGCACCAATTTCGATTTTGAAAACAATTATCGTAAGCTTATAGCAAGCAAAAATCAATTAAAACTATACTTGGCCGTCCGGAATAATCTCAATTACAGGATTCAATTTTTTAATATAATTTAATAATATAATATAATTTTTTAATTTTAATAAGTGTATGGTTCGCACACGTACGAGTGTACGCAGGTGCGTGGTTGTATGCGAGCTTACAACTACGTGTGTACTACGTATTGTTCGCGAGTATGTTTGTATTCACTTAGCGTTCGTTGCCACAAAACATATATTGAACCATTTCCGCCCGAATTTGGGTTCGTATTTCCCGCTGCTGCATCTTACATTATTTGACGCCAAAACACTAAATTCCGCCAGATCAAACGACTTCCACAACACTAAGGAGAACATTTCGATGTCAGTGAATGCAATACACTAACCGCGTTTTATCAATTTTAGGTTGGATAAATAATGTGAAGTTATCGTTGCTGGTAATTTGTTAGTCTTTTACACCGAATTCGAATTTCATTAATGTTTCTATTAATTTCGTATTTACTCGTTCGCTTATATTCATATTTATTTCACTCGGCTTTTTTCCATGAATTCTTATTAAAATTAAACATAATTTTTGTTATGTAAAGGTTAAATCAATTTATTGTTGTCATTTGTAATGAGTATATTATAAAAAAATTGCTACAATATGCAGTCAGTAATGTAGTACGCAGTGGCAATCGAGTTGAGTAACGCTATCACAAATTGATTAGTATGCGCGCGTCAATTTGCCTACTCCGTCATGAACCGCCGCCGGGCGGCCCGTCAGCTGTAATCAGCCGCTTATTGGTTAACATTGAATCGCGATTATTTATCTAATTATAAGGAAAAATTAATTGTGCCATTATATTTAATTTTTTAAGACGAATCCAATGGTACCAAACTCTTGAATCAACCTTATAGGAGCGATTTCCTCGGGGTAAGAGTGCGAATTTCAAAAAAACAGTTTCTTTACAGCCCCTTGAATATTTATTGAGATCAAGAAAATGTTATCGGAAATTCGGAAAATTGAAAATTGAAGGGTGAGAGGCGCCTCTGGGGTATAAAAATCGCCATAAGGGTGGTTTAAAAAATTGCAAAAAATAAACGAGTAGGACCATTCAATAGAGCTTATTTAAATGTGCTTATTACCTCCTTTTGGATTTCAAATTATTAACCTCATTCTCATTATGGATATTTTATATTATAGTCGTCTTGCGAGAAACCAAAAGCATTTTTTTTATTCAAGCCGAAAGCTTTAAAACTTACATGCATTTAACTTTTCTATTCTGCATAGCATGCATTACATTTTATAAACTTTTTTCAAAAAGTTATATTTTTTCTGACCGCCCTCTACTTGTCTAAATTTTCTTGATCGCTGTCCGCTTGTTTATCCATATTAATGTATATGAACTTAAACTTTGCATTTAGTCAACATACGTTTAATATTCACATACACGCACGCATATAAAACGTACTACAAATCTATTTGAAAAGCTGATAACTTAAATCGCAACAATGGTTAGGACTCGAGTTGTGATTCAACCATATCCATAGAATTATCTAATTATTATAGAAAATTTGTAGTAATTCCATCTTAAATAATTTTTCGAGATGAGTTGAGTTGAGTTAGCTTTATTTTACTATGAAGTGGGACCCTATTTAGAATCTAATGGTATCAGATTATATGTTTTTGAATAACTATATATTTTTAAAAACAATATATATGTTGGTAATGACTGTTCAGTGAAAATATTATTCAGTTATATGTAAATTCTTATAATCAGTCCTTCATTATCAAAAAGGCCGACTTCACTTTATAAAAATATCGATTCACCACGAGTTGATTCTGGATAAATTTTGAAATTTTTTGAATTCATCATAATGCTTTTATAATGAACACGAACAATATAATTTTATTTTCATAAAAATTAAATGATTTCTGATATTATATGTTTGCACAGAAAATGAAGAAGTGATTAATTGATATAAAAAATTCATCTAGACATCGTACGTTTAATCAGTTTTTAATATAATTCATTCAAATATATATTTATTCCTGGAGAAGTATTTTATATAAAATTCTTTTAGCTAATTATTTTTCAATCGAGTTTTCTGTAAAAAATTTACATGTATAGTTATTTTTTAATAAAAACTATTTTATGCTTTCTGTTAAATTGAAAATTTGCATAGGTTCTACATGGATAGAGTAGAATTGGTATATGAAAATCAATTTGTAAAATATTTTGATTTAGCGACTAACCTGAAACTAATATATGAACACACACACGCACGTATACAGACACACACACACACATATATATATATATATATATATATATATATATATATATATATATATGTGTGTGTGTGTGTGTCTGTATATATGTATCAGGATATAATAGAGAATGAAGACATCAAACTGGATGAAATGTTCGTTGCTTCTCTCATTCACGATCTTATCAAGGTATTAACTACGAAGTTATCGTTTAAATTTTGATTTTTTTCGATACTACAATTAGTTTCACGTTTGCTTATTTATAGGGGATGACATATATTCATGAAAACTCTTTACTGATCTGTCATGGCAATCTTAAATCATCGAACTGTGTGGTTACTTCCCGTTGGGTACTTCAAGTCTCAGATTTTGGTCTTCATGATATGCGTCATTGTGCAGAATCTGACAGCATTGGCGAACATCAGTATTACCGAAGTATGTAAAGCAAAAACAAAAATCTCTTTTAATTTAAATTTTAAAAAATCATCTTTTTGATCAATTTTCATTGTAGTGAAGTATTATCCTTCTCCCCCTGCCCCCACCCGCAGAAGTAAATCGTTACTTCTATGGTAAACAATTTTTGTTTAATAACTTTAACTTGACTTTCGTCAAACGTAAAATTTTTTATTCACAGGAATTCAAATTTATGTTCTGGCGCAATATTGTATTTATTAGTAAGCTTTTTATTAGTAGAAAGAGCTCGGTGGGTTCATAGTCAATTACCGTGGGTCATTACTTTATATTAACCCCTAATCTTATAGCTTAGATTCACTCTGCCAAAGATGAAACTGTCGCTTGCGTATTCTTTCTTTTTAATTCATAGTAATATACAAATTGATTTATTATTTTAGTCGTAAATAAATAAACAAGTAAAACCTCAGCTCCATCAACAAAACAATTTTGTTCAATTTTTGTAAAGGGTCTAGCCGGGTAACATAGTCGAATTTGCCCCCGGCCAATTTGGTATAGTTAGTTATATCATCTTATTGCGTATGAAAAATGGTACTGCTCCACCAATTTTCAGGCCCCTAGACCCATGCGCATGCGCAGAATCTCAATTTTTCGTATTTTCGGTTTTTTGATCATTACTCCTTCAATTTTTGTCTTAGAAAAAAATTTTTGTTTTTCAAATTGTAGGGTTTTTAAAGCCGTACAAAATGGTAAAACTCAAAAAGAATTTAGGCACGAAATTCAAATTTTTTCAGCGCTGTAAAAATTTTAAAATTGAATATCTCAAAACCGAAGACAGACGTATCTCTTGAAAAAATATATTGTATGTATTTTAACTCTAAAAGTATGTGTGAATTTTTTCAGATTTTTAAAATTGGTGGAAGGTGGTCAAAAAAATTAAAAAACGCATTTTCGCTCATTTTTGCATATACCTCGGCTCTATTAATCTGTAATACTTCCAAACAAGCCATTTGATTTCACTTTCACTTACTTAACCTTTTTTCTGTACTATAGGTACGATATAAATTGTATGCAACAAGGTTGGTCAATATTCTGATACTCTGGTGGGCAAAAGTAGCCTTTAATTCAAACTGCTAGCAAAGGTAGTTTTCGTACAGAAATATTTGCAATAAGAAGTTATTTTTATTCAATCTTTATTAAAATAAGAGCTTACGATGAATTATTGAAACAAATCAGGTACTTATCGATAATACTGTACACATCCAATGTACATAGGAATAAAAAATTCAACGTATGATAAAAATAATGATAAGTAAATACATGGTCGCTTTCATTGGAGTGTAATAGTTTAATTATTACTCTACAATATTTTAGTCCTAAATAAGCAGCATAGATTCAACATAACTTATAAAATAAAAAACCGATAGTTTTAGATAATAGAAAAAATGATCAAAATGGTATGTATTATTTGTGGAAATTAATTGTTTTGATATTTACAGTTTTAGTAAACAATAAAAAAAAAGATTACAAAAACGTGGACACTGAAAAAGAATACAATGAACAAGAATACAAGAGTACAATGATTTTCGAATTTACACCGCCAGAGGTCTCTCTAAAGCAAATATCAAACCTCAACTAATTCTTGAACTATAGTCACTAGTCACTAGTCACTGGACACATTTCTACGTACTATCTATAGTATTTTGAATTTGAAAACAATTTCAAAATCTATTCAATACACGAAGTAATTCACATTTCAATACACAGATACTTATTAGATCATTACCAAAATGATAAAATAGTGTTGATTGCATTAAAAATCGTATCGCCAAAACGGAAATCCATTAAAGGTAAGTTTTTCACAAACATATCTGTAAATTATTATATAGTGTATGCATAACTACATACACAATTTCAAACTAGAATAGTATTTTAACAAACAAATGATTAGAAAGTCTATACAGTAATCACTGAACGTAATATTGTAATAAGATTTCCAGAAGATTTTTTTCTAAATTCTAGCCCTTGAGATCCATTTAAAATAAAATAAAATAAAGTTCCAATACATTTATAAACTAGTTTTACATAATATTATCTGTTGAATGACCTTAAAAGTATAGAAAAAATTTTTTATGTTAAACTCATGTACTAAATGTTGTAAATTTTTTATATTTTGCAGACTTCACAATGTCTGGTTCAACTGAAAAAACGAAACAAAAATGTATTAAATGTGAGCTATCTATTAAGAAAATTAGTGGACCAAAATTAATAGAAACTGATAAATTAGCTAATGAGATAACGTTATTTATTGATGGAAAAGCATCCGTTGGTGATATTTTGTGTAGTAAATGTTTTACAGCAATTTCGTTTTTACAGTCAAAAAAAAGAAAGATGCATTGAGAAATCAGCCGTTACAAACGGACAATCAAATATCTGTTAGTTCAACAGATTCAATTTCTTCATCACAACCATCAGCAGATGATCCTAGTTTCGAACCTAAACTACAAACTAAGGAAGAAGAAGAATGTATTGAACTATCATATAGAAGGCCTATTTCTTCACACAAATATTGCTGTTTTTGTGGAAAAGAATCTCAAATTATAAGCATTCCTTTCAAAGCCCGTAAGCAAGTTTTTTCATCACATCGTATTTTCATTCCTGAAGGCAATCGCTGTTGTCCAGAACATTTGATAAATGGCAAATTATATGAAGATGAGATAAAAAATATGAAAATACAATCTCATTCAAGCCTGATTAAAGCAAAAGATTTAGAAAAGCTGCTAGACAATTTGAGTTTAGATGCTGACAAGGAAATTACAGATAGAATTGCTGATTTCAGTCTTCCAGAAGATCGACTTTTAGTTTTTACTGGATTAAATTGGGAAAATTTAATCAAACTACGGGAAATGATGACTTCTTTACGAAATACGGAGATCCGAAGTGTTACTCAAGTGCTAGTTGTCTTTCTTTTCAAAATGCGAACTGGAAATTCTAACAAAATTATTTGTTCGTTACTTGGTCTCTCCCGTTCACAGCAAGTATATGAATTTTCAGCGTCAATTTTTGCTTCCTTTGAACGCGATGTCCTACCAACTCGTTTTGGATTAGGAGCAGTCAAAAGAGAGGATCTGATAAGAGATCATACTACCAGTACAGTTCAAAAATTGCATGGTATAAAAGCTAATACGCTCTTTCTGGTTGGTGATGGTACGTACATTCGTCATCAAAAAAGTTCCAATAACGAATATCAAAAAAAATCTTATTCTGGTCAGAAAAAGGTTCCTCTTTGTAAGCCTTTCACGATATGTGCAACGGATGGGTTTGTTGTTGATGTCCCGGGGCCGTACTATGCAAATGAAAATGATGCAACTATTTTGGATAGGTTATTGAATGAAAATAAGGACTTGTGCAATTTGCTTCGAGAAGGCGACGTTTTTATTCTAGATAGAGGATTTCGTGACGTCGTGAGTAAATTAGAAGAAAAAAAATATCGAGTATTAATGCCTGCATTGAAAGGTCAACGTAAACGGTTGACTTGCCAAGAAGCAAATTGGTCTCGAATGGTCACAGTCTGTCGTTTTGTTGTTGAAGCTGTTCATGGAATTATAGGTCAAAAGTTTAAGATATTACATCACCAATTAGACAATCGATTACTCCCTCGAGTTGGAACTTATTGTAAAATAGCATGCTTTTTTGTAAATGAATTTGGGAAGAGAATAGTATCTAAAATCTCGTCATCAGACCTGGTGATGGATCGGTTTCTATCACAAAATATGCAGGAAAATAGCCTAGCTGAGCAAGCGAAAAATGAAGGATGGAGTCGAAAGAAAACGATATTCAAAAAATTAACGTCAAATGAGCTCACTGACTTCCCTGAAATGACTGAGCAGGATATGATTGTTTTTTTCACAGGCACATATCAGATGCAACAAGCAATTTCATATCTAGCTGAAATTATGACAGATGATAACAAAATTGATGTACAATATTTGAAACAAAAAGCAGATGCGAATTCTACTGAACAAACAAGCAAATCGAAGGAAGAAATAATAAAACTCCAGGTTCGATCTCGACACATTTCTAGGAAGACTTACAATTGTTTCATAGCATACACACCTAATACTATTGGTTATAGTGGTATAAAAAGGTATTGCTGCGAGTGTGCTAATGGGTTGAGAACCATTGGATGTTGCTCTCATGTTGCTGCAATAATATATTACCTTTCACATGCCAGGTATCTATCGAAAATTGTAAGACCTGCAGAAAAACTCACTAAAATTTACGGAAGAGAGGATGTAATGCCAGTTATTGAAGAAGATAGCGAAGAAGACTGATTGATTACTATTGATAAAATTTTGATTACCATGTACATTGGATGTGTACAGTATTATCAATAAGTACCTGATTTGTTTCAATAATTCATCGCAAGCTCTTATTTTAATAAAGATTGAATAAAAATAACTTCTTGTTGCAAATATTTCTGTGCGAAAACTACCTTTGCCAGCAGTTTGAAGTAAAGGCTACTTTTGCCCACCAGAGTATCAGAATATTGACCAACCTTGTTGCATACAATTTATATCGTACCTATAGTACAGAAAAAAGGTTAAGTAAGTAAAAGTGAAATCAAATGGCTTATTTGGAAGTATTACAGATTAATAGAGCCGAGGTATATGCAAAAATGAGCGAAAATGCGTTTTTTAATTTTTTTTGACCACCTTCCACCAATTTTAAAAATCTGAAAAAATTCACACATACTTTTAGAGTTCAAATACATACAATATATTTTTTCAAGAGATACGTCTGTCTTCGGTTTTGAGATATTCAATTTTAAAATTTTTACAGCGCTGAAAAAATTTGAATTTCGTGCCTAAATTTTTTTTGAGTTTTACCATTTTGTACGGCTTTAAAAACCCTACAATTTGAAAAACAAAAATTTTTTTCTAAGACAAAAATTGAAGGAGTAATGATCAAAAAACCGAAAATACGAAAAATTGAGATTCTGCGCATGCGCATGGGTCTAGGGG